TCCCTCAAAGCAGTAGCACCGGCCGGGTCTCCGCCCCCGCCGTGCTCTCGCCGAGGCTGGGGCAGCTGCCCCCTGCGCGCCCTGAAGCAAGGAGCCCATTTGCTCCTCAGAATGGAAAATTCCCGTCCAAGAACATTACTGATATTGGGGGGAGGGGTGTCCCCTCCCATCTCAAATCATTGCTTTCTGCCTTCATATGAGTCTATGGCGATTTTTCTGTTAAAAGGTAGCAGGTCGTAATTTGTGAAGTGTCCAGCGCGGCTCAAAAGTCGCCCGATTAAAAAAAAAAAAAGTCATTCAATAATTTTTCCTTTATTTTCTGTTGCAAGCAGTTGCTTGGTGCTTTTTTTTTCTTTCTTTCTTTCTTTTTTAACTAACCAAGTAACCACCCAAACCTAAAAGGAAAACGTAAAACAATCTGATTTCTATAGATTAGCCCTGTGACTAGACGTTTTACAAACACATTTTTAACAGGAAAAATGTAATGGGATGTTTTAAAAAGGGAGACATATTTTAGATGTGTCTGGAGATGTTGAGAAAGAAACATTGGGCTTTTCACTTATTTACAATAAGCTCAAAATGCAGTCTTTCCAGACTGTTTTGCATGATGTAATTGGGGTTTGGGATTGGGGGTGGTGGGGTCATAGGCTAGTGTCTACGGAGCAGCGTTGATTATTACTTGGTTTTCAGTTCTGCGGCCCGAAGGTCAGCTATATTTGATGATTGGTGTTATTAAAAATAAGGCTCTAAAACGCTAGGGATTCCAGTTAAGCTCTTCAAACACTGACAGCCGTAGATGTCCCTTTGGGCAGCAGGTTCTGCTGAGATCAGTAGAACCCCAGTGAGGAAGGAAAACGAGGCAGGTTGTGTTGTAAGGAAACTTTATGTTAATTGTTTGGGCTTGAGGTGCCTTGCGTGTGTGTGTGTGTGTGTGTGTGTGTGTGTGTGTGTGTGTGTGTGTGAGTTTTAGGTAAATGAGTAAGTGGTGGAGAAAAGAAATTTGGACCAGAACAATTCAGGAGGATATGCTGTGCCACAAAGCAAACAGAAACAAACAAGCACCAAAAAAAAAAAAAAAAAAAAAAAACGATTCAGGGTTAAGACACCCCCTGGAATGTTCCTTGCATCTCTAAGCCCTTCCTGGCTGATACCACTTGACAGTTTAAGGGAGGTTGTTGAACTTGGGTACAAACACCTCCTCTTTCATTTGTTCTTCTCTAGTCTAGGTTTAGAAACAACAACAACAAATATACATATGTTGAACACTGCCTGCTCGCTCTATCTCTATTTTTATATTTTTAGAACATATGTCTTTAACAGCAAGTAGCCCAACATTTTGTTGTTCAAAGAAGATGGCAGAAACATTCCATCTGCCATACTGGGAGATTGTTTCAAAGAGTCAGTAATCCTGATGGCCTCAAAATCAAAGACTTGACTGAGTGTGTAGCTAGTAAACCAGAAGTAGAAAAATTTAAACAATATCCAGCCTGAAACTAATCATATTGAGTAAATGGGAAGGAACAAAATAAAATCAGGAATTTAGAATTCAGTGCACTGGCCTCAGGTGCTAAGCCACTCTGGTTTTTATTTAGGAAATAAGAGCATTGATATTATGTGCTCTGTGTCAAATCAATCCACCTCTGGGTGCCTTATCTCTCTGACTCATAAAATTAGAGTTTGGGTAGATGGATTTCTATCCATTCTCGTCACCTAAACACAAGAAGTCCTAAGACAGAACTTCCGTGTGTTCTCAGAAATGCAGGAAAAAGTAGATTATCTTCAGCAGAGGGTCACCAAAGTTAGCCATCTAGTGAGTAGCTCATCTGATAGGGGCATGATGTTCTTGTGTGTGTTGAAAAAGCCATAGCATTTCCAAGAGAGGTATTTTACAGTCCCAACCAATATTAAGAAAGATGCTGTTCACGCACCGTTTTCAAAATTTTAAAACAGAAGTTTGCCTGTCATTCAAAATAGTAAATTAAAGACTCAGACTCCTAGAGCTTCTACTGCAAGGATGATTATTCTTCAGGAAGAAACACAAATAGCAGTGACCGTTTTTTTCACAGACGTGCTCAGCCATCAGAAAAGCTTAATAAGTCCCTATTTAGTATGCATTTATGCAGTGATTATATGAACTTTGACCTCTGAAGAGCTGTAGCAATTAGCTTCAGGGTCCAGCATCTTCTCCCACCATTCCCCACTGGCTTCCTTGGGTCTTCCTTTCATCTCAGCAGTTCGTATGCTCGGAGGGCATAAAATTTTAAAGTTGACTTTCCACCTGAGGTATTTGCTTCTGCACAAGGCACTTCCCCCTCCACTCCCCCCATCTGATGTCTAAACAGCCATCTCAGATGGATATTGGGGCTCTGATTGTCGATATTACTCAAACACAAATGGATTTCAGTTCAATCTTGCCCTGTTCTTTCGCAAAGAAGATACACTCTAATGGCCCAAAGAGCTTCATTTCATAGTTCGTGGCACCTGAAATAAATCGGCTCTCTTCTGTCAGGCTAATTGAATGTTTTTTAAATATTCTGTGTAATTTATTTTAAGTCAAATGAAACCTAGTGGCTTGGCAGAAAGCTAGAGGAGAGAGGAGAAGGGCAGCTGGAAAGTCCCTCTCCACCGCCCCCCCCCCAAAAAAAAGTCAGGAAGGGAGAGGAAAGTGTTTTAAGTTTCTAGTAAACACTGTTTAGCAAAAGAATAATAGGCAAGTTAACCCTTTCCCAAAGAGGGATGGAACTATAATTGTTGCCTTTAGCAGAGAGCTCAGATAAACCACTGGGACTCATTCTAAAATGACCCATCACTGCATTCATCTCTTCTTGAACTTTCAGTGAACCTGAGATTAAACAGGGGTGAGCAGCTAAGCAGTTTGTTGTTAGCAGGCTTTTCAACAACCCTTTCAGACTGAGTAAATATTGATCGGTTTGAATCTGATTGCCCCAGAGGAAAACACCAGGACATCTGAATAGCCTCCAAAAGTAAACTTTCAAAGGTGAAGCCGAGAGCAGACTTCAGAGTCGCAGCACAATTTCAACTCAGCCTCAGTTGGGGACACCCTAAATTTCTGGAGTACTTTGAATGAAGGTGAGAGAAGTGAGGAAAAAGCATTGGAAAACTGGAATTTTATATTGTGATTATCCCAAGTCCCTAATTGAGACTCTTGTCCTTTTTAAATTTATCAATAAAATGTTATTTTCTGTTTTCCATCTTCTGTCATTTCAGTTACCATGGCTGTCATTTTTCAAGGAGCTAACTGTGCTCCTCAGAGACCAAAACAGAAAAAGAGAGACCTTGAAATAGGATGTGTTAAGCGCCTTTGATTTAATCGATTGGGACAACTAAAAAGATACAAATGTTTTCCTTGTTGAAAGGTATATTAATGTTTCCTAAATGCATTGCTTGTTAATTGATTTATTCCACGACCTAGAGAAGGCTTGGGATGTTTAGCCATAATTCATCATTCTCCTCTCTCTCAGCTACGTTAAAACCAGCACCTAGAAGATTGGAATCTCCGGATTCCAGCGGGTTGGCCCTGCTTTTAGATATTGAAATCTCGGCAGTGGCATGCAAATGACACTTTAACACATTAAAGTATTTGGAAACCAGCCATCTGTTTCGCTGTGTGGCTTTACACTAATAAACAAAAGATACTGTATACGGCCAGGCGGGAAATGAAAGAAAGAGTTGGCTGACTTTGAAGTTCTCCTCCATCCACTTGAGTCTTTTAGAAGCAACCCCAGAACCCAGGAGCTGAGGGGAGGGCACTGGGTGCCCTTGATATGGCCGCGGCAACTGCGCCTGCAGAGTCCCGGCTCACTCTCTTTGACAGGGAACTACAGGAAATCTCAAGGATGCTCTAGGAGGCCTGCAAATTACAAGTTTTTGTAAGATTTCTCACTACCCACCCACCCTGAACCCGAGCCCATCCTTTGTGAAACACCCTTTGGAGCGGAAGTCATATGTCTGTATTTGTTTGTGATGCGGTAAAATTTCTGCTCTACTCTTGGGGTTAAATTAAAGCCTCCAAATATGTGTGAAAGTAAAGGGAATGTGGTAACAGGTCTAGGAGGAGAGTCACTTTGAACTTTCTGATTTGCTGGCTTCTTCTGTTTGAGACCAGCAGACACATGCATTGGTCAGAAGCAACTTGAATATGGACAGACTTCAGGGCGGCTTCCACAAGTTCACCTGGAAGAACCTATTGAGCCCAGGGAAAATTAAAATGTTTTTCTGGGTTATGTGGCATGGAAATTGAGCGGTAGACCCGTTACAGCCATGGTGGCTGTGAAATCAAAGCTGAATCTGATGGGAATGAGATATGTAACCCAGAAGGAATTGGGAGTAGGGGTTTAAAAAGTGGAAGGAAGGAGTGGATCTTGACAGGAGGAATTGGAGGAGGGATGCAAAGGTTTACTCAGTACAGACCACACTCAATTTAAAGAGTGGAATATTTTGGCACGCTGTCCAACAATCCAGAAAGAAGGAAGAGGGGTGGGGTGGGGGCCCCGTCCTCAAACAGCTTTATACTGGAGCTAATTAAATGTGAATCTCTTAGCTCTTGGTTCATTGATGTGAGGAAAGACTGACTGAAGAGTTTCAGCTTTTGAAGGGGATTCTGTTTATATATATGTCAACGTTGAGTTGGAGGTGAAAAGGTTAGCACTTGACCCAGGAAGTATCCATGTTTGTTTCAAAAATAGATCTGCTTCATAAATTTCTTCACCATTCATTTTTTTCCATAATGAACTTTGATTATAATAAAGCAGCCGCTGCTATTTTAAAGAAAATCAACCTATTACATAGACATCGTTAGGTGCAATGACACTCATAGGGGAAGCTTCAGCTACATAATGAAAAGCCTTTCCTTTTTTTTTTTCAAGAAAAGGCCCACCTCTTTGAAAATACACACCACACTTCTCTCCCCCATGTGAAATGAGCCAACTTTGTAGGAACCAGCAAATTGTAGCCAAGCCAAATACACAGATGCGTGAGCATATCTGAAACCTGAATATATTTATTACAGACATCTTAAGACCCGTAAATTCTGCTCTGGATCACATCACTCCGGGATCTCTGAGCTGTTCATGATTGTACAGGAAATGGGGACTATCACAAAGGATAACTGATAGAACTCAGTGTGGTACTTCAGGGACATCAAAACATTGTGCGACATGCAAAAGACTGTTCACGAATCACACAAAATATACATTCATTGTGCCATCCATCACATTAACAATTGGGCCGAAAATATATCATATCCAGCTAAGATAACTGTGGAAGGAAGAAGCTGGTTTGAATAATACATTTAGATGCTGAATAATCCAGCACAAATTTTAAATAGAGTGTGGCCAGAGAAACAAGAAAGGAGTGGGGATGGGGAGAGACTTAGCACAGGAAGCAAGGTTTCTGACCCTTGTATTCTGCAGGCCTTCTTAACTCACTGAAAGAACAAATTGAGGCTACCATCTGAGGCATCTGATTGATTTTAAATGAGAGCTTTTAATTCTTTAACCTATAATCACATATAAAGTTGTACCAGCTTTGAGAGTTTGCCCACTGTGTTTTAGTCACTTAATCAAAACATTTCTAGAAAATCTGTATAAAGATAAATCTTTCAGGACAAAGCATTTACAACCAGCAAACTCACACACATAAAATTGAATTAAATTAAGGGATGAATTAATTGTGTAAACACTCTCATAGTGTATCTGTTCTTCATGAGCTCCTGGACCCTCTTCTCTCTCTCTCTAGCCTACTTTAAGGGCAAAGTAGGGGAGAACTGTAAATATACAGATAGATAAAAGATGAGAGGCCTCGCTCTGACATGTTTCGGCTGGCAGAGGAAACTATTTTCCAAAGGGCATCTGAAAGGAACAGTAGGTTCTGTCGAAATCTCCTAAAAGTAGGGATGTTAGGTGCCATTGGAAAGTTGATGCTGGCCCTCAATCTGCGCTACGGAGCTAACACCCCCCTCCCCCCTCATCAAGTTTCTAATCCAGAATTCTCTGGAAACCCATTATCCTGGCCAGGAGTTCCCCAGATAGGATCAGAAAGGAAGAGAAAGATTGTAAATGGAGAGGAAGATAAGCTAAGAATGTGCTTTGGGTAAGAAGTCCCAGCCGGAGGAGTAGCCTGGGCTGCAGAGTGGGGCCGGGGCGGCCTCAGTGGGAGGTAGGTAGAGTGTCTGAGGTAGAAGACCCCGGGGAAGGAACGCAGGGTGAGGAGCTGGACTTCTCTGAGGATTCCTCGGCCTTCTCCTCGCTTCCCGTCGGAGTGGCTGGAGAGATGGGCAAGAGGCCCTCCTTCTCTCGTTTCTTCTGCTTCATTCGGCGGTTCTGGAACCAGATCTTCACCTGGGTCTCATTGAGCTGCAGGGATGCGGCAATCTCCACCCTGCGGGCACGCGTCAAGTACTTGTTGAAGTGAAACTCCTTCTCCAGCTCCGTGAGCTGTTTAGTAGTGAAGTTGGTACGCACTGCATTGGGTTGACCCACGTAGCCATACTCTCCGACTTTCCCTGGGGGCAAGGTGGGAAGCGATGAGAGGAAAAGGTAAAAATTTTTATAATCGATATGAGATTCCGTACACGCTTCAGAGCAACCTTCGGGTAAAGAGGAATCAAGAATTTCTGAACATAAACTGGGCTTGGGAGGGTGAGTGATGAGGTGTAAAGTGTTAATCTGAAATCAACCATTAGCATGGTCAGACCGTGATTAATGGAGCCTGGAGATATTAACAGGACGCCCCCACACACACACACACCTACCCACTTCCCACTTCCTACTTCCCAAACCTCTAAAACCCAGCCCCTTTGGAAATACAGCAGTCCCAGATGCTCCTTTGCCCCAACACACCTGGGTAAACCACCCCACACCCTACAACACAGGTGGGAAGCAAGAACTTTAAAAAAAAAACATGATTAATTTTCCTTGGAAACTAAGCATACCAGCTCCTTCCAAAATCATCAAGGAGCTTTCATGGAATGGCAAGACTGACCTGTTTTGGGAGGGTTTCTTTTGACTTTCATCCAGTCAAAGGTCTGTGCTGGAGAAGATGTCTCTGATGCAGGGGAGCGACAGGCTTCTTGGTGGCTGGCGTGGAGAGGGGACAAGGAGTTATTATACGTGGCCAGGGCCAGGCTCTGGTGCTCTTGTCCATATGAGTGGTGAATGTACTGAGGCGAGCCCACCGCGCCCCCGGCATAACCCTGGTGGTGGTGGTGATGCTGGACCATGGGAGATGAGAGATTTCCAGAGTAAACAGCGGGAGCGCACGAGGGGTACCCACCACTTACTTCTGCTTCCTGATTTAACGCGTAGGGGCTGTAAGGCGCGCCGAAGTTCTGCGCGCCGTAGCTTGGACCACAACTCGAGTGGGAGTAGGATACCCCCAGGTTCCCAGCAGTCTGGTAGGTGGCCGGCTGGGGGTGGTGATGGTGGTGGTGGTGGGGCGGGCTGATCTGCACCCCCCTGCCCACTAGGAAGCGGTCGTCGCCGCCACAGCTGTTGGCACTGACCGCGCACGACTGGAAAGTTGTAATTCCATGGTCGGAGGGGTAGGCTCGCGCTGAGCAGGTCCCCGAGTCGCCACCGCTGAGGATGGGGTATTCCAGGAAGGAGCTCATTCTTGCATTGTCCATCTGTCACTGAGTGACCGGGTCCTGCGAAGCCCTGGGTGACCGTGCCAACTTTCTCACTTCCTCCATGGGGCCGGAGAAGAAAAATGATATGAATGTACAGTGCGCAAGAGGGGGGGCGGGAGGGCGGAGGGCGCTAGGGGAGGGGCACGTGACTATATCAACCAATGGCGGAGCTTGCTGCGAAAGTTTGCTGGCTCCTGCGGTGATGGATCACCATTTCAGTGGCATTTAAATCCCCAGCGCTCCTCAGTCTAGGTGACGCGCAGTCGCCCCCCCAGGCAGCCCGGGCGGCAGCAGCAGCTGCGGCAGCTGCCGGGGCAGATTCGGAGCGCTGGGGCGAAGGGGAGCAGAGGCTGCTTTCTGCGCGCGCTGAATCCGATCTCCCCCCGCTCCGGGAAGTGTGGGCTGGAAGGCATCCCCCGTCACCGCCCCCTTCCCCACCGCGCACAGAAAGATGAATTGGCAAGAGGTGAGAAGCGAGGAGGGCTCCTCGATCTCTCGGGTCGGGAATCAGTGGGCGGGAGCTCGCTGGGCCGCCACTAGCACACTGGCCGAGCCCGGAACGCAAGGAATTGGAAGGGTTGCTCCCCGGGCGCTTTCCGTTCAGTGCCTTCTGCGGTGCCTCGAGGAGTGCTGAGAACGGTGGCGTAGGACGAGGCTGGGCCACCAGCTCTCTAAGCTCGGGATGGAGAGGGAAGTACGCAGAGAGCTGGCTGGGAGGAACCCGAGTGGGCGTGGAGGGGACGAGGGCAAAAAAGGAAACTTCCCTTCTCCAGGGAGGGTCTTGAAGCCTCCTTTCCTCCTCCCCCTCCCCCCCCCCCCCCCCATCGGCTATTAGCGTGGCAACGTGGAGCTTTTGTATGTAATTTGACGCCCGGGAGTGGCTGAGCCTTGGGAGCTAGGCTTGCTGGCCAAGACCAGGGGTGGCCCAACTCTTCGCCCTCCCTCTCTCCTCGCTCTCCGCCCCTTTCTCCTCCCCACTCAGCTTGCTCTGGGAGCCCTACGGGATCCGTAGCAACTCCGCCGGTGGATTTTGAGGGGTAGGAGGCGGGGGGGAGAGAGATGACGCTAGCGGACGTGGCAAGCCTGGGGGCCGGGCCCTGCGCTGCAGGCCATCTGCCGGCTCCCTAGGACCCAGGAGCCTGCGTGATCCGACCGGGGCCTCAAAGGGCGAGACCACGGCTACCGCAAACTACGATGGACTCTCCCCCCCCCCTCCCCGCAACGTTTCTCATTTTCTGAAGGGAGATGTTAGGAGTGGTAGAGCTTCCTTTATCCACCCCCCCCCATTCTACTGCACAGCTGAAGTGGGGGTGGGGGGTTGGCAGGTGGGAGGGGCGGGGGACAGATGGCTGATGGTGGACGGGACATTTCCTCCTTCCCCAACAACTGACTGCGTAGTTCCTTGTGTGAACCTTCAAGTCTTTCCCTAGAGAGACATGTGCAAATCTGAGCGTCATCCCAGGACAGGGGTCCTGTTCTCCATCACCCTCGTCCTACCCCGATGCCGACGGGGTCGTTAACTGCTGTTTACTATTAGGTTTCGTGTGAACCCTTAGCTTGTAGAGAGAAAAGGCCAAACAGAGGCCAAGAATTGATGCATTCTTGGGTAAAAGAAATCCAGACATCATCCAGAAGCTTTGCAGCCAATGCTGTGTAGCTCTATTCTGACCGTGTTCACCACATCGGAGTCCGACAGATCGGATTGTCTGAGGATTGTGCGTGGGTTGGGGGTCCTCCCTCCTCTCTAGCTCCCCCTCCCCAGTTAAAAGAAAGAGGTTTTTCTTGAGGCAGGCACGTTTCAGATGTGTTAGTCAGCCTTTCAGGTTTCTGGGTTCTGTTCTTCACGTATAGAAGTTCCCTCCTAACCTGTCTCCCCAAGAGGGAAAACTGGCAGACATTTGACTGTAGATTCCCTCAGTAGCAAAGGAACATTTTTCCTAAACATTTCCTTTTGAAAGGGTATTTTCCTGTGACCTGCGACCCATCCCCAATCATGGTTAAGAGGGAACCAGGAAAGGTCACTCCTGCCCCAGTTTCAGCACCTGGGGAACCTCATCCGGGAGAAGGGAAAAGGCAAGGAGGCCCTCCTGGAGGTGGCTTCCTTGGGAGCGCCAGGCCTCCAGCCAGTGGGGGGGGGGGCGGAGAAGGGGCTCCTATGGGGGAGGAGGCAGGACCTTAGGGGGTCTGGCCTGGCACTGAGGACGATCTGCTCTCACAGCCGAAGCTCGTCGGTACGTTCTCCCCCTTGCCTCATTCCTGTCCCTTTGTTGGCCTCCTCGGCTCGGGTCTGCACGACCCCCTCGGCAGCAGGGCTCGCGCCACAAAGCCACCCCAGTCTGCAGCCGCTCTCCTTCCTCTGCTAGTTCTCCGCCTCTGGGCTCCTCTCCCTCCACCTCTCTTCCTCCCTCCGGGCCTTTTTCCCGGCCATCGTGGGTGGAGTGTTTTTCTTGGGATCACAAGCTTGCGCTAGCACACAGGGCCGCTGCACACGGGCCGCGACCGAGCCGCCTCCGCGCACTGCTCCGGGCTGGCCGGGCTCTCGAGGTCGAGCCGACTCCGCCCCGGCTGGTCGCCCAGAGCGCCGCTCTCCCGGTGCGGCTCACAAAGGCAGCTTCCTCTGGCCTCGATCCCGCACGCTTCCGTAGCCTGGTTCCTTCACCACCACGAAATCCTAGGGTTCATTTCGCCGAGTGGGAGACCCTAGGTCCTCGGGGCAAGTAGGCCAGAGACCCACGACGCGAGCTAAAGTCTCTTTAAACACCCGAGGAGAGTGCGTGAAAGGCGAGCTCGGTCACTATTTAAATGATCCCTTGCAAGCGGCTTGTTGAGCTCAAAGCGCCTCTTTCAGGGCTCTTCTAGTAGTAGAAAGGGAAGGAGCGAGGAGGAGACAAAACGCCGCCGAGGCCCCGAGCTGTTCATGGCATCCGCAGCTCAGCCAAGCTGTTGTTTTAAAAGAGCAATAAAAATGAATTATGACTAAACGCCTTCTAACTTAATGCTTTCGGACGGGGATTCCTGGCAAATACGTAAGAGGATTTTTATTTGTGCATGTGTTCCTGCAATTGATCTCTTTGATGACATTCTCATTCATAGAAAGCGTTTGATTTATGAGCGTGGGATGAATCGCAAACAGCAGCGGCTAAACCCTGGCCTCGGCCGGGCCGCCTGCTCCGCTCCGCGCCTGGGGCAGGAGACTTGCCCGGGTCCCCACTCGCCTCCGCCGCTGCCGGGATTTAGGGGGCAAAAGGGTGGGGGAAGGTAGGCAGCAAACCCGGGGAGAAGGATCGCGATTTCCTCATAACTTCCAAGCCTTTGCTATTAAGAGCCGGGTTCTTAAATCAACCCGCCCCCCACACATGTTGCTTACTCGCTGCCTTTTCTCACGGTAAGTAGCCATCGGAACAGAGCTCAGTAAGGGAAAAATAAACATGGGGAGACATAAGAAGGGAGAAAAAATCAGAACAGCCCAGTAACATCCCTAGTTCACATTTTATTGATATTTCATTTAAAGTGCTTTTTCTCTTTCTCTCTCTAGAAACTGGGTTAATTTATAACCTGGGGGGTAGAAACACTCCACTTTAAATCTCATCTTGCTAACCTGACTTCAAAGCTTTAATGATCCATTATTTGCCATGTAAACAGATTTAAGAATGAAATATTGATTTTTATGACCCTGAAAAAAAAAAAAGAAGAATCCTAGAATGACTGAACCAGAGGATTGCAAAAAAAAAAAAAAAAAAAAAAAAACCCTTTCTGAAGTGCATTTTCCAGCTAGTAACCATTGTTTTGTTTTATTTTTGTTTTTCTGTTTTAGGTCTGTTTGCCTGGACCCATCAACAGCTGGGAGACTAATCAACCGCACTGAAAATGTTTGGGGATTTGTGGGGGAGGGGTTTGGAATGTAAATGTTTGAAACAAATGTGTATAAATAAATGAATTCTTGATAACTTAGTTATTGACCTGGAGACTGGTAGCTTGTTAAAGAAACTCCATGTTCCTCCTTCCTGGAGTTGGAGGTTTCTGTAGGCACTTTATTTCTCCACTTTCAAAAGCTTGGGCTTGGCCCAACTCTGAGGCTGCCCAGTCCTGTTTCTATTACCAATTTAAATCTATGGCTTGAATCTCTACATTGAAAAACCTAATCCATTCCCTTAAAAAACAAAAAAACCACACTTCTCAGAAGCCCTAACCATTTTCTGGCTTTCTTCTTTTGTTGCTGTCTATTGAAGACTTTGAACATGCCCATTTAATAAATATATTAAAATTGAAAAAGAAAATGGATTGTGACCAGAATTTTATTTACCAAGTTAGACTAAAAGAGGAAAAAGAAACTGTTATGAGCCTTGAGAAAGAGGGGGAGGAAAAAAAATAAGAAAGCTACTTATAGCAAAGGAGAATTTATTCTACCAAAAATACGCATGACAATGCATCCTAATGTAATACAAAAATAAAAAGAAAGTGAAGATACAATTATATGATCACTTTCTTGCAGGCCTCATATATTGCTTTCAGGAAATCACATAGAGGGTTGCTGGATTAGATTTTAAACAACTAAAACTCCAAAATAATCTGAAAAAGATGGCTCTGTAACTGGGTTAAGGGAATCACTAAACAGAAAAATCTTCAACATTTAAAGGAGGGAGAGGGTAGGTCAAGAAGAAAAGAAAATAAAAATTAACTCTCAGAATAAAGGAAGGCAAAACCACCCGGTCAAAGGGGTTTTTGTTTTGTGATGCTTTGTTTTGCTTTAATGTTTTTAGTAATTCAGATGCTGCAAGTCGATTGTGGTGAGTGTGTCTGTAAAAAAGTCAAAGCTGTCAGCTGAAATATCTACAGGACTGTCGAGGGAACCCGGCAAACTGGGCGAGACTGCGTCTGAAAGCTGCAGGCAGGAATCTGTGGAAAAAACGTTAAAGTCCTGCAAAGAGGGGACCTCGAGGGCCTCGGGACTGTCATTGTTTAGGCCAGAGCCACAGTTCTGGCCCATTGTTGACAAGCAGTTAGGAACAGTGGGTGACTGGTGCTGAAAATGTTTCAGATTTTTTTCATTGCTGGTTAAAGGCGAAACTGGGAAACTTTGGGAGTCACCATTGTGTCCATTGGGAGCCTGCTGCTGAGAGAGGGCATTTTGCTGAAAAGTGTAACCTTCCCTCTCCAGAAGGGCCCCGGAGACGCTGAGGGCTTGCTCAAAGAGCGACTTCTCTTCCTCGTCCTCCTCCACTTTCTCAGAGTCTTCGAGGCTTTTAAATTTTCCTTCGCTGTTTTGGTTCTCCTTGCACTGGGTCTGCCTCTTGTGCTTCATCCTCCGGTTCTGAAACCACACTTTCACTTGTCTCTCAGTCAAATCCAGCAGCGCTGCAATTTCCACCCTTCGGGGTCTGCAAAGGTACTTGTTGAAATGAAATTCTTTTTCCAGCTCTAAAAGCTGCGTGTTGGTGTAAGCAGTTCTCAGGCGCCGGGAGCCCCCGCCGCTGCCATCGGCGATTTCCAGGGATTCTGCGGAAAGGGAAACCAACAAGAGACACACGCACAGTTGGAGGTGGAGGGGTCCGAGCGGGGTTATTCCACTGGAGAATAAATATAGCAGAAAAGATCAACTGCAACAAAATGGCCGCCCCTAGATGCAGTAAAGCTATTGTGCTGCCTTTCCTGGGAGCCCAGCCCGGGGAGACCCCATCTCTTCCACCTCCATCAAATTCTTGCCTGTAGCTCCCCCCAACCTCTCCATCCGGGAGCAAACTTTATATTAGCCACACCACAATTTATAATTAATGCATCAGCTGCTTAGCTGAGCAAGAGCGATCTATCACTCTTCATTACTGTCAAAAAGCCAAACTCTAGGACAACTAGACAAGAGGAGGTCAGTTCCAACTCAAATAAATCATCCCACATTACACAAGTTAGGGAAAGTTCCCCCACCCCCTTCTTAAAATATACATATATATATATATATATATATATATATATATATATATATAAAATCAATGCGGAACGCAGGATCCCTTTTCTCAACATCAAACCCACTCCTGAGCCCACAGGGGAAGGGAAAGCAGCCAAGCATCTCTCTCTCTCCCCCTTCTCTCCCAGCCCACGCTCCCCTCCCCCCATAACCGCTCTCGGGGCAGCCCAGAAGGGGAAGAGGGTCCGGGGACCTGGGGCCAAGTCTTTGGACTGACCTTTGTGGCTGAGGCAGGCAGGGCCGGTGGCGGCGGCCGAGGCGGGCGGCAGCGCGGTTTTCTTGGCCGCCTTCTTCTCCTTCATCCAGGGGTACTCGGGCGGCTGCAGGGCGCCGGCGGGCACTGGGCTGCCGCGGCTGCCCGCGGGGCTCGGCTTGGGGCGGCCGCCAGCGCCGTGGCGAGGGTGACTGCCCGGGTTCAGGCTGGGAATGGTCTGCTCAAAAGGAGGAGGAATCAGTGTCGAGTGTGAAAGCGTCGAGGTCTTGATTGATGAACTTTGAAATGTATCAGCGACAGGGGGAAAAGATGTCAGGCACTCAGCGAGCGACGGCTGGCTATTGATAAAACCAATCTCTCGCTCAAATTCGTAATTCATGGCCTTCTCCTTGGAGCCCCCTCGGAGAAAAAGTTCCCTCTTCTGGAGGGGCTTTGGGGGGGCAAGGCCCAGGAAAAAGGCGAGCGCGGAGGGGAAAAAAAAATCTATCATAGAAGATCGCTGCTGGGGTGTTTTTTTTCTAATTCACTGATTACAGCCGTATGGGGACCGCGCTACTATTAAACTATTGAATTCATGGAGACAAGGTTGAAATTGGACCGAATTGGCTGTCACATGATTGCTTCTGCCCAATGACAATTTGGGCTTTAATCAAAAGAAGCCACTGTCTGTTTGATTGATCCAAAAAAGTCGGGAAGGAACGCCTCATTGGGGGCCAGCGAGGCTTTATTTACACTTTTTTCTGGGCAAAAATACCTATATGTGGGTGTGGGTTAGGGATGCCTGGGAGTGCGTGGGGGCGAGGGTGCCTGCCCGCCTCCTGATCAGCACGGATCTGGTGTGTGCGCCTGGCAGTGTGTGTGAGTGTGTGAGTGCGTGCGAGTGGTGAGCCCTGCAGCCGGTCCCGGCGGCAGCTGCCCTCTGCCTCCCCCGCACACTCCGCGCATTGTTTGGGACTGTCGGGAAGACGCCTCGCACCTCACAAATCATTTAAGCACCTCAGTCTGACGCCTGCAGTCATTAACAAAGTAATCCATTAATCTTAAAGTTTTGACACCCGAGGGCCCCGCATCCCAACCACATAAGTTCTGCTGAGGCAGGAGGAAGAAGCAGAGGGAGAGGGGAGATGAGACAGAGAGAGGAAAGGGCGGGGGCGGGGGGGGACAGAAAGAGAGAGAAGGATTCTTTTGGGGGGTTCCTCCCTTTTATTTCCCTTTTCCTCCTCCGCCATAAACCAGTTCCTGGATCTCAGAACTGGTCTGTCTCTGTTTTCCTTCCCGTCTGTCTGTCTTTCCCTCTTTTCCTCTTTTTTTCCCTCTTCTCCCCTCTCCTCCTCCCTGTCTCTCCTCTGTCCACCTCTCCTCCCCCCACTTCCCTCAGGCCCTCGCCCCCCTCCCAAAGCCCAGCTCGGAGTCCGCGCCCACGGACCCCGGACCCCGGCCCATTGTTAGCCGGCTTTTCCACGACAACTATGCATCTGGCTCCAGCGGGAAGCGGAAAACGGGAGGCGGCTCTCCAGGCTTCCCGACCCTCTTGCGCCATCAACTTCTCAGGAGTGGCTCGAGAAAGATAGATGCATGTGCCAAGCGAGACAACAACCCCAGATCCATGTGTCCAAATCCCTGTAGCCAGGGCGGCGGCCAGCCAAAGAAATGCCGCCCCGAGCAGGCGCGTGCGGCTCCTGGCATTCTGGGTTTCATACCCGTAGGGCTCGGGTGCGGTAAGTATTTCTGATTTCCAGGAAGTCTGTTGGAAGTTAGCAGCACGGAAGGAGAAGGCGCTTGCTTGTTCTCTCCTGTTTTCTTTTTCTTTTCCTCCCCTTCTTCTCATCCTTGTCGCTCTGGTGCGGGCTTCTTGGTTCAGATGCAGTGAGTGCTCCCTGGCAGCCCGAACTGTCTCCTGCACTGTCCCGCTTCTTGGCCACCAGGGATGTTTGCACTCGGGTTCTGTTGTGAGAAACAGCACCGCGGGTGACAGAGGGCGACCCAAGGAGGAATTATAAAGGTTCTGTTTCTCTCTTCACTTTCTTTTTTCCAACTTGGAGACTTGAGACTGAGCGAATCTTGGACTGTGCTGGAGGGTTCAAAAGATAACACCTTTAGATACCAAACAATAACTTTGAAAAAAATCCACCAAGCCAGAAAAAGGGAAGGAGGCTGAGAGAGAAATCTGAAGGTATCTCTTTTCCCCCAAACCCTGAGGATGATGATTCGCTTTTGCTTCCTTTGAAATGGACCAAGTGATCAGACTCCCCCTGGCCGGCAGGCATCGGTGGCAGGAAAATAAATCATTCTGATGGCCAGGGAGAGAAAGATTGTCGGAGGAGAAAAATCTACTTAGAAAACAAGGAAGGCTGACCAAGCCACAAGGATAGGACTCCATCTCTGAGGCTGGCATCAAAGGGGGTTTGGGTTGGAAATTAGATATAAAGTGGACTTCGTCATTGACTAGCCCAGAGCATTGCCTTACAGATAGAGATGCTATTTTGGAAAATGTGGGGGTTTTTTCAGTTTTCTTGCTTTTATTCCAAACAAAGCTCTGAAGGAAGTCTGAGTGCGATCAATCTTGCTCACCAAAAGCCTTGACAGCTTCTGGCCCTTAAGAACACATTTCAGCTTCGAGCTCTTTCCAAGATCAAATGTGGCCGAGCAAAGAGGAGAGCAGGAAACGCAAGTAAACAAGGAAAACTAGTCTTTTTAAAGATTTTTCTTTTTTGGCAGCAAAAAGAGTTATAAGGCTGCTTTTAGGAAAGGTGTTTTGTGGACTCTGGGATGGTGGCT